TACAATAAAGACTATAAAAGCCTAGGTTTACAATTTGTGTTCAATTCGAACAATTATTGTATTCTAGGTAAGTTTGAAATAATTTGAAATAAACTATTTAGTCTTAAGATAATTTCTAAAAGTTTAATTTATTTATTTTTCATTTTAAGAAAGTTTTTAGATCATAAGTACTGTATTCATTATAACTGTTTTATTATATTAAGAACTATTAAAAATGTATGTTTCATTTTTATAAATGTTTCAATTTACAAATACTTTGGAAAAACAATGTGTAAAATATTATCTAATATTGTAATGTTTTAACTTTATTCTTCATTAAAATTTTCGAACACTTATTCTAGCTTTTCCTGTTGCTGATTCCGGCCTATCTACCAATTGATTGTGAGTTTGTTTCCCCCTTATTGAGAAAAACGTCAATACTTTAGCAAGGATTACAAAACACGATAACAATTGTCACAATAGAATGGTGGAGGACCCGGGAAACGATCCCGGTACCTCTCGCACGCCAAGCGAGATTAAAATGCAATATTTTTTTATTTGAATGGTATAATTTTTCATTTGAATGCAATATTTTTTATTCAAATGGTGTAATTTGTCATTCAAATGCATTTTTTTTTATTTGAATGGTATATTTTTTCAATTAAATGCAATATTTTTTCATTTAAATGCAATATTTTTTCATTTAAATGCAATATTTTTTCTTCAAATGGTATAATTTGTCATTCAAATGTAATATTTTTTATTCCATTGGTAAAGTAGTTTTTTATTTATATGCAATAATTGCATTATGGGAAATTCTTTGGCGTCATAAGGACAAATTTGCAACAGCGTTTGTGATTGGTCTGTAATTGTTTAAATGTCTCCCCTTTCTTTCTAAACATGAGTGACCAAGAATTAAAAAACGCGTCAGAATATCGCCCCTCTAACTAAAGCTAAAGTTCGTGCGAGTTCTGCACTGGCTGTTAAAATCTTCTGGTCCTAACTATTATTTCTATTTCAAACTTTCGATGGTCAAAACGTTCGTACCACCACTTTTCAAAAACTTTCATTATTTATGGATCTATATGCATGTATAACGTTTCGGTTTTCCCATTAGAATGGTTTTACACTAGTCATTTTTTGGGGCCCACTATATCTTGTTGTTCGGTGTGAGCAAAGACTACGTGTTGAAGACCGCACTTTGACCTATAATGGTTTACATGTACAAATTATGACTTGGATGGAGAGTTGTCTCATTGGCACTCATACCACATCTTCTTATATCTATATACAACGTAAACCAGACGTTTCTCAGACTGTTTTCTTTTTTTTAATAAATCCTTTGCCGCGCGTTGTGTACTGATTGATACCTCAGTCTGGGAGAACAAGATTTATTTCAGTACTAGTTGTAATTAGCTTTGAGCAAACTTCCAGTAATTGCAAATACTCTTATGTCGGTGCTTTGTGTCTATTGTCTTAATATTAGGGTTTTTTTTGTGTGTCTCCTACCGATCTTTTGAGTTAATCTAATTGCAACTGATTAGTGCAGGTTGTTCTTTTATTGGACTGTTACACCACTGTCAGAGCTTCGGGATGGGTTGAGTGCTCACAAACATGTTGTTGTACTGTTACACTACTGTCCCAGGTTAGGGGGAGGATTGGGATCCCGCTAACATGTTTAACCCCGCCACATTCTGTATGTATGTGCTTGTCCCAAGTCAGGAGCCTGTAATTCAGTGTTTGCCGTTTGTCGCTGTGTTATACATATTTGTGTTTCGTTCATTTTATTGTACATTAATTCGGCCGTTAGTTTTCTCGTTTGCATTGTTTTACATTTGTGATTTCGGGGCCTTTAATAGCTGACTATGCGGTGTAGGCTTTGCTTATTGTCGAAGGCCGTACGGTGACTTATAGCTGTTGATTTCTGTGTAATTTGGAGAGTTGTCTCATATGCAATCATACCACATCTTCGTTTTATATTAACCCTGCCATATTCTTTATTTGCCTGTCCCAGGTCAGAAGCCTGTAGTTTAGTGGTTGTCGTTGGTTCATGTCTCGACTCATATTTGATATTTTGTAAATTGTTTTGTTATGTATATTTAGGCCTTTAGTTTTTCTTTTAAATTGTTCACATTTTTCATGTCGGGCTTTTTAAAGACGACTTTACAGTAATATGTTTTTGTCATTGTTAAAGGCATTACGATTGTCTATAATTGCTTACATCCACTTCATATTTGAACTCCGGTGGATAGTTACCTTATTAGCAATCGTATCCCATCTCTTCGTTTTTATATTAAATACCTGACTTCTAAACTCGTGTTTTCCTGAACAAGCATGAAATATTTGTAACTGGGCGTTAAAAATTAGCAACAAACAATCAACCAATTTAAACTTGTGTAAAATAAGAGGAAAACCATTTGATATTTATTCATTTGTTGGGGTGGGGGACAGAAGGATTTCATATATGAATATGGTTGCCTGGTATAAGAGCTCAAAAATAGGTTTGATATGCGACAGATTAAAATGAATAATAATGCCCTCTCTTCCCGTCCCCATCCTTCATCTATAAATTAAACTGACCACCACGGTATAACCCAATAGTGTTGAAAGTAGCGTTAAACACCAATCAATCAAAATCCCATCCCTGGAATATCAAATAATAGTCCCTTAACTGTTATTGTCCGTGTAGTTCTTATATTTATCCAGCTTATCGTCCTACAGAGATGTCCTACTAAGGCTGGCATACCATAAACACGTTCTTAACACAGCTCACATTCTAATATATCTGCATTCATAAATTTATTAATGTCATTTAGACTAAACGACGCCATATTTGTTATGTGCCTCTGCCGTCTAAACAGCCTATAAAAAAAGCAAAAAAAACAGAAATGGACTTCTTCTGGCTCGCTACCGAAGAACAAACAAACGCGCCCTATTAATATGTTTTAAAAACGCCTTGCCCCTACCCTTTTTCCACAAATTGGCATTGTTAAATATATATACATATATATAATCATCATTAAAATGCTATTATACTTTTATAGGACCTACTTTATTACATGATCTGGGACTAATGACATCTATCTATAAGTCAAAGCATACAGTAAATTATTATAATATGAATATGTTTCTTGTTTTAATAACCACATATGATGCTATGCATGAGTCACCATTTATCAGGACAGGAATTGGGTTTACATAGAGAGAATAATGTGCAAAAAATAGATAAGGGGCGGGACCAAACCTATAGATAACATATACAAAAATGATGAAATATGAAGAATACGTTGATTGTTTTTTGGTTGCCTTATGTCCAGTGGCAAATATTTCACGCATGTTTAGGACAAATATGATAAAGATAAAAGGATAAAGAAAAGAGTGAAATGGTAAAAACTAAAAGATATAGAATTATAGAAACGATCTTTGATCTGAACACCCTCCCCCTCCCCTCACACACACACACACACCATAACACCATTAATGCCAATACTCGCATATATACATCTCTATACAAATATCTAAATCTGACCTCCCCCCCCCCCCCCCCCCCACCCTAGACACAGAGGTTCTGGATCCGCCCCTGTTAAATGATGTATCTTATTATATACATTTTGTACGGGTCTAGATAATATCTAAACGTACAATTCTATAATTTGTTGGATACAAATCATTAGAGATTTGTATCTAATTATATTATATACTGTGTCACAAAATAAACTTGTAGCCCCCCCCCCCCCCCCCCCCCCCCCCCCCCCCTCTTTTCCAAATGCAGTATTGAAAAGTAAATCAATTAAAAGTCCTGAAGAAAAAATATGTTTTGAAATATGCCCTTCATACTTATTTATGCAAAGACATATAGTAATTATTGAACTACTGTGGGGCTTGAAAAAAAAATCTATTTAAGGGATTCGGAGATGGGAACAGTAAAAAAAGCTCAGCAACGAATCATAAATGTAAAATGATTTGAGCATATGACATGAGAGCACATATTATAGATAGTCCAAAATATGAAGTTCACGCCTTATACAGTGTACGTCCTATGTCATAGGACTATTGTTGTAACATGGGTTAGTAACTGGTTCCAATTTATCCCGAATTGTCTTTATTAAAGAATGAGTTCCGGAGTATCACAGCTCAGGTCTCTTCTTGTGGGTCTCTGGTTCTGCTGTCGTAATTAGGTGATTTTTTTTTCTACATGTAGCAAAAATGACAGGGCTTAGTCCAAATAATTATAACGTCCTGAAAGGCTTTTTATTCTTTTTTATGTTTGCCTTCCTGCAACGTCCCTGAGGATCAAGAAAAGTAAAAAATGATATAGCATCAGAGAACGTCATGATTACATGTATCTGGACTTAGAGGGCGAAAAAAGGGGGGGAAGGGGGGAAGGGGTTGGAGAGGGGGGGCTAGCTGTTTTTTTTTTTTATTTCAATGTGTAGACTGAGGGGAGTTTCTTCAGAAAGGGTTTTCATTTGAGGCGTTTTTGCCATGCACGCAGGCATCTCTTTCTATCCATGAACAAGTAATGTGTCAAATTAATTATTATTACTTGTCAAATTAATAATTATTATTGGCATTAACAGCCAGTGCACGAAACTCGCATGAACGCCAAATTTAGTTAGAGGGGCGATATTCCGACGCGTTTATTTAATTCTTGGTCATTCATGTTTAGAAAGAAAGGGGAGAAAACCAAACAATTACCGACCAATCACAAACGTTGTTGCAAATTTGACCTTGTTACGTCAAAAATTTCCCATAATGCAATTATTGCATATAAATAAAAAAACTACTATACAAATTGAATAAAAAATATTGCATTTGAATGTCAAATTATACCATTTGAATAAATATATTGCATTTAAATGAAAAAAAATATACCATTCAAATAAAAAATATTGCATTTGAATTACAAATTATACCATTTGAATAACAAATATTGCATTTAAATGAAAAAATATACCATTCAAATAAAAAAATATTGCATTTAAATGAAGAAATATACCAATTAAATTAAAAATATTGCATATAAATGAAAAATATTTATTTTTTGCAACCAATACCATGCCATAATTAACACACAATCTACAATCATTGAATAAAACCGTAAATGTTAAAACAAACCTTTTATACATTATGTATACATACACGAGTACACTATTTGACACACTGTTTACATTGATGGAGTATCACCATTGCAGTTACTTGACACACAGATGTTTAAAAATACAAGTAATGTCACGGCTATTTGACACACTGTCTACATTCACGAACTACCTACTTATAGTAACGACAAAGGTACTGGACCCACTATTTACATAACATATATATATTATACACTTGAAATAAAAAAAAAAAGATACTTGACACACTGGCTTCATACATAAGTTACAATCTTTGCAATAATGACACAGCTATATATGACACACTATGTTCATACTGGATAACAAACTTAAAATAACGACAAAGTCACTGGATACACTGCCTCAATACATAAAATAACAATTTAAAGTAAGGAAAACATCACTGGACACATTATCTACATACATGGATTTTAACTTTCAAATAATGATTAACGCTACATGACTCAGTGTCTACGTACATGTATTTTAAAAATCCTTTAGAATTATGACAGAGCTAACTGACACACTGTCTACATACATTGATTGCATTATTTAAAGTATTAAAAAGGCTACTCGACAGATTGTCTACATACATTTGTACATAGATGCATGAAATGAAACTTCTAAAGTAACAACACACATACTGGCCGCACTGTCTACAAACATTACGTATTACCTTAAGGGCAATGAAAAAAGGACGCGTCAGACTGTCTGTATACAAATGTATTGATAAAAAAAGCTTTGAACTTATAACAAAACTTTTAAACACACTATCTATACAATTGGAATAATTTATATTATTCTTGCTTTAAGCGCTGACGCTGCTTCTACTAATGATGTGTGCTTGTCAAGTGACATGTCAAATAAATGTTAATAACGTAAATTTTTATGATATATGAATATGATCCATGCTTTGTAGTACACGTTGATCTTACAACCCCTTTCGCACAGTAACAGTCTACATTAATTTACCATTTCTCAGATATATCATTTAGAACAGTCTTTGCTCCTACTTCTCTCGTGCTTTGAGGTGAGATGGTGACAACCAATTCAAATTGACAAGTGCATGGTTGGCTCTCTTCTGGAGCAAACATTTAAACTCCTTTATCCTAGGTGACCTAGTAACACACAACAGCTGTCTGGTTTATATAATGCTGCCGTGATTTGACCTTCTCCACAAAAAAATATAAAAACGCAAAATTTTAATACAAAAACATGTTCTTTTGCTTTGAAAATGTCATGATCCTATTGTAATTTTTTTGTAATGGATCGAAATCACCCTCAGTTTTTGGTTGGGTTCGTGTTGTTGTTGTACTCCTATTTGTGACAGTTTTTTCACGCATCGTTGTCAATATAATGGAATTTGATGCGACTGTTGTACAAGTGAGAGGTTTAGTGCTATAAAACTAGTTTCAATTCACCATTTACTTCATTTGAAAATGCCTGTACCAAGTCAGGAATATGACAGTTGTTGTCCATTCGTTTGATGTGTTTTACCATTTAATTTTGCCATTTGAATAGGGACTTTCCGTTTTGAATTTTCCTCGAATTTCAGTATTTTTGTGACTTTACTTTTTATACAACCTAGTCTTTTAATTTTCTTTATGTTAAACTTTCTGGATAAAAGTTCATCGAAATAAGATCAAATGAGGCGTATCTGACGCTTCGAGAAAGGATGTTTTTTTTTATCTTTAAGTGTACGAACTAGCGAGGTTCTGTATGCAGTTGGTTTCGCAAATTAGGCATTATCCACTAGTAATTATTAAAGAATGTTTTCCAACATATTTTATCTTTATATCGTTGTGTAAAAAACATGTCATGTAACAAATTGTACTAACAGCAATATATTATGGAGAATTTACAAAGAAAATACTTATAAATAAATTGGAAACATTATTGAACGTACCGAGTCGTCTATGCCTATGTACATTTGATAATGATGGCTTACCTTGTAGGCCTAAACAGTGTTTCGAGTACATCGCCTGTATGGTTTAAGAACTTTCACTAAAATTGAAATGCAAAGGTTGCTCAAAATCTATGGAAACAAGGGGACCTCTAACTTCTATTTTCCGCTATTTGTTAATATTTCCAGTATAAAAAAAAAACATCATTTGCTTCTATCGTTAACGAAAAGATTAAACATGTTAAACTTGAAAAGAAAGTACTTCATAATCAAATAAAATATTTGAGTTTAATTCTAAAACATACGAAGTCAAATGGTTCATGTGTAAAATAATTTGATTGAAATTCAAAATGAGTATCTTTGAGTACCATTCTATCCTACAATTGCAAAAGCTCTGAAATATTTTAGTTACAAACTTGAAGTACCTTTAGATTCTTTTGTTTGGAAGTTTTGAAAATCTCGTTTTCTTCCCAGGTAGTGGTTGAGCCGGATGAGCCTATCCTCGTAAAACGTTGCAGGTGTCAGCCGAGCGTCAAACCTTTTCGCAAGGACTATCAACTTTTTCCATCTGTCGGTGAATTCGAAGATCGACATTTCGAAGTGTGATGTATGTTGAAGCCTATTTCTGTTCAGCCGTATTCTTTCAATATCATCTCCAACATTTACAGCAACTCGCTCACATGGCCAATTATCTCCGCCCCATCTCCCACGTGACGGAAGACATAATCCTTGACGTCGTAATTCGCCATACAGATAAGTGATGTCACATTCATTTCTGGGTTTGGTGATTGAACATGCGCTTGCATAAGTAAGATCATATAGCATGTCTGTCAGCACTTCGACCGATGCCTTGCTGACACGTATGAAATTCTGTTCTTCTTCTGAAACGGTGTCATCCTTGAAAAACATTATATTGATATGACAACAAATTACCACCTTCTTAATACAAAACCGTCTGTTTAAATAAGTATTTACACCTCAATGGCTTTCAAAGTTCGCAGTTATCTTACATTTGTAGGAGAGTGATTCGGATGCACCGAGTTTTAAAGTAATATTTGTAGGTGTACTGTTTCTATGCTTCATTTCTTAACAATATCATATAAAATATTAATCTAAGATGAAGACTTAACCCAGATCTGACAGTAGTACGAATCAAGTACTGAACGCTATTGGCACCTCCCTATAAAGTAAAACTACTGAAAACTATTCGCATATAGAGGTATCCAATCACAAGTTGTATTGTGTGTTTTTTTTAAAGTGCTGTATGGAACCCCCTATGACGTGGCACTGTGCTTATACATCCCGTCATTGTGTTATTGTTCTATAATTTGTTTTTGTATTTTTATCTTTAATTTTTGCTAATCTGCTGTGTCTATATGCTTTTTGGTGTTTATTTGTTAATACGATGTGGCTCTTTTCTTATACATCCCGTCATTGTGTTATTGTGACATGGTAAATGTTTGTTTACATATTTGTTTTATGTTTGTAGTGATAAAGATAATAACACAATGTTGACTACTGCACACCTGTTTTTGACATTTGTACATATTATGTCTTGTTTGTTTTGTTCACAGGTTTAATCCATCATTTTCTACTTAAGAAAATACCTGTACCAAATCAGGAAAATGACAGTTGTTGGCCATTCGTTTGACGAGTTCGAACTTTTGATTTTGCCATTTGAATAGGGTCTTTCCGCTTTGAATTTTCCTTTGAGTTCGGTATTTTTGTGATTTTACTCTTTATTACTCTGACATAATTTATAAGGTAAGAAACTCGATAGCAGACTTATATCTGAAAAACAGACTGATGTATTTCTTAAATTTGATACACATGATAAAGGACAACAACGTATTCAAAGAAATATATTAAATGCTTTGTTTGCGTATACTGGCTTCGATCATCACTGAATATTCATTTATGTCAAATGGGAGACTGGTGAAAAGCTATTAGTACCGTTACTTGTATTACATACATCTTCGAATACTAAAATCGACCGGAAGTGTGTAAAAGAAGGTAAGACATTTTTGTCTTTTTTTTTTTAAGTATTCAATGGTATTGTTAATTTCAATTCATGGTAAGAAACGTTAACGGAATCCACATCGTTTATTGTTAATGCCTATAGATTAGACAGACATTAGTAGAATTATAGCATTCATAATTTGGTTTGGAATGCAAAGAATGATACATTAAGGTTTAAGATAATTACCAGTATCACATTCAGCATCCAATATTGCTTGAATAACAGACACTCGTGTATAATGTTATGTTCTTTACACCAATATTCTCTAACTGGTCTAAGACTCTCAAGGTTTATTCCTCCTTTGTTACTGATCAAGGTGCTTTCTGGGCATTTTATCTTTATTTCTACCGCTTTCATTACATCATATTTCCTTTGAATAACAAACATATCATCCTCAAGGAGACATCGAATCATCCTTCCAGTATTTTCCATTCCAATTCCCCATATCCATATTTGAGCTTGAATACTGTTTTTGTGAGAACAGAGAAGAACTTTTTCGCATCCTGTATCGTCAATATCAAATAGTGCCACATCTCTGTATAGTTCACCAACATAGCCAGATGGATTGTCGGAATCATTAGTAAGTTTGAACCGGCGAAGGAAATATACTACCACATGAAAAAAAACATCGACGGGAGAAAATCATATTCAAAGCAAATGATTGCAGACTTAGTAAAATTTATAAATTTGTTACTTACTATATGCCATCCAGATGTACGAACCATGCACGGAACGAGATAGTTAAAATCATTGTTATACATGTCATATTCCTGGTCCAGAATATCTGCACAAACTAAAATGTCATATTTCTCCATAACGTTAAAGATATGTTCTTTGAACTCAGACAGGGAAGACTCTGTTTCTTTGAATAAATGTTCTATCAACTTTTTTTGTAAGAAGCCAGTCTTTTCGTACTGTTCCCAATCAATATGCAAATTTGGTGCTATGAAGCATTTTGCGCCAACAATACAACGCAATGCATTAGCAAACCACTGTGGACATATTATCACACTTTCACCTATATCTTCAAAAAATATAATATTTCCAATATCATGATGTAATACCAAGAATGAAATGAGCTCCTTCTTAGTTGATAGAGGAGACGGAAGAGATTTATTAATCCCCCAAAGGTCATTGACAGTCACCACTGTTTTCCCCTCTAATCGCAATTCCTCTATTTTATTCCCGAAAGGTATCCATTTTACTGGCACCTTTACGCCCCAGTGTTCCTGTTGCTTTGCAATTGCGAATATATATTGACGTAATTTTTCAACTTCGGCTTCCGATGATTGTGTGTTCGATATAGCAAAAAAGTTTCTAAAATGATCCTTCCGTCTGTCTGATCCCAATGACTTAAGTAACGCTTCTTGGTACTCATCAATATAATCTTCTGCATTGATGTGCTGAATTAGGGAAAACAAATATTATCCTAAGGAAAAATGTAGTGTGGATTCATTTCATTTCATTGTTAAAAGTTTCCTAGATTTAGAAAACATTGTATAAACGCGGATATTTTATTTCGAGGTTTTGCCTAAGTCTGCATTCAAGCATTTAGAAAATGTGTACTTCAAGACCCATTGGTGGTCTTCGGCTGTTATCTGCTCTTTGGTCGAGTTGTTGTTTCTTCGATGTATTCCCAATTTCCATTCTCAATTTTTTTTTCATTGACCATTTATTTTTGTGGTTCAAAACTCGACAATTAATAAATAATCCGTTGTAATAAAATTTTGTGTTTGCAATCGAGAAAGGATTCATCTAATCTTTATTCAGAAAGGAGTAAGTTCGGTAAGGGTCATATTTGGCCTTGATTATAAAATTTAATGGTACAAGATAAAATATGTTTTAAATTGTCTTAAAGACATGTGAGAAAGTTAAATATAAATTTTGTGTCAAAGTTTTATTCTAAAGCGTTGATTTGTACATCCAAAATAGGTCAAAATAAGAGATTTACCGAAATTTGACGATTTCAACCAAATTAAGGACCAGGAAACATAGAGCGCAGGCGTCGACAAACTAAATATTCAAGTTAAACATGCAAAATGTCATTACAAACATTATGTTCAAAGAACTTTTTTGTCGACGTTTGCGCTCTATGTTTCCTGTCCAATGATCAATGCAAAATTTACAAATTTTCATTGATTTTCTGTGGAAAATAAAAAAATGATTACTGTTTGTGACGTCATCAGTAGAACGCAAGAACGTAAATTTTCAACAAAAAGGCACATTTCCTATCTAGTCAATGTACATCATCCCTTGCCTATAAATGAATAATTTATACTTATTGTCACTCCCTTTTCTGTATAACCTGGGGTATAGATTCGCCTGGTTTTAAGAGTGGATAGTAATGTTGTTGTCATTGATGCATCAACATTAACACGGGTTTGAGCTAAGTCATTTTCAAATGGTAACAAACTCGTCATTCATCTCATAGACATCCAAAAAAAAAAAACATTTTCCACAAAAAACATTAACCTCATGTCTTATTCTTAAACATTACTACTGGTAAATTATTTATTGATAAAAAAACTAGACTTCAAAAGATAGCCACTGCATTCACATACATGATTTATTTAAACTGTTAATGTATGTATCTATTTCTTGTCTGCGTTTTACCTTACAAGGTAAAATAAATGTTAGTTGCATATAACATTTTGGATGCACTATTTTATCAAACAGAAAAACGTAAAATAAAATAACCAAACTCACAGGCAAATTCAAAAAGGGGGACTTACGTAACAAACTGACTAAATTAACGTCATCATGCAACGGAACAAGTGAAAATCAACTAAAATACATTTAACTTTGACTGCAGGAATTTTTATTAGAAAACTATAGGTTTAACTTGCTTTTAAGGTAAATCGTTATATCAAAGCAATTGTAGATATTGCAATAATAAAGCACATTTAATTTACGAAAATCATTAACAATGCATATTAACTCAAATGAAATCAAAATACTCCGTTTTGTTTCGTATTTCATTCAGATTAGATTATATTTTATTTTTTTTTAGCTTTTTTCCGTTCTAAGTGAACTAACATTCTGCCTAGACTATGACCAATGCATGTACAAAGTAAAATTACAGAAATACTGAACTCCGAGGAAAATTCAAAACGGAAAGTCCCTAATCAAATGGCGAAATCAAAAGCTCAAACACATCAAACTAATGGATAGCAACTGTCATATTTCTGACTGGGTACATGTATTTTCTTATGTAGAGAATGTTGGATTGAACCTGGTTTTATAGCTACCTAAAACTCTCACTTGTATGACAGTCGCATCAAATTTACCTGTATGCTGTCGATGTGTGTGGCAACTGGAATGATTGGTGGGTTTAGAAGATTATTCTCATTTCTTGATACATCTCCATAACAATGAACTGTATTTGTCCAATATTGAACGTAATCTACAACACAATTTAAACATTGAAAGATTATATATATCATAGCTGAAAATGTGTCGGCACCTTCGTGAAATTTCATAAGTGTAATTTTCCCATTGTATTTTCATTATTCACTGTGAACTGCTATATTAGGTTTTAAGTAGAAACATAAACAACTTAAACGTTTTGAAATCAAGAGCGAATTTAAGATTTAGTGTAAATCAATATTTTTTTCTGTACACCTTTATTCAATATACCGTATAGCGGGTTATTTTTGCGGGTGTAAAATTTCGCGATTTTAATTGAATAAGGTATACGAATTTTTTGGGTGTTATTATTTTGGCGAATTAAAACTTTTATCAATACCTTTGCATGTGCAGTTTTAAATTGGCGGAATTTAATTTCGCTTATTTGTTCTATCCGCCAAAATAAGCGAAAATTTGCACCCCGCGAAAATAACCCGCTATACGGTATGTCATGCCAGAGTAACATGTTATAAATATGATAAAATATAAAACTCTATGCAAACAGCCGAAATTACGATAGGCTCAGACCTCGTATTCGGAATAGTTCAACTGTTGATAAACATCAATTCAGCAATTTTCATTTTTGTAATCCCCTAGCCATCATGTATGGTATGACATATGTTATATTCTGAATTAAAGTAAACTAATTATTACTTAAAGATACATTATACAAATTACCATTTACATCTGATAAAATCTGTTCTTGTTTTCTGTTTGGATTGCGCTCATACAATACCGTTTCCTGTGATCTCTTTTGATGTAATCCTTTAGAAATATCGCTCACTAATAGGACGATGCAATTCTTGGACAGGAATAATTGGTGAGTGGGATAATATTCTTGTTGACCAGCAAAGTCCCAGACTGACATAATGGCGGTCTTCCCGTAGTCAAAACTGTTGTCTACATTGAGATTTTGTAAACTTTGTTTCCACGCTTCAATTTTGACTCGTTCATTTTCAGATTCTACAAAAGACCTTACTGACCTTTCAAAATTTCTAAATTGGGTCACTACTTTCTTTTCTTTTTCCATCTTCTCATTTGTTATTTCGTTCCTCAATTTTGTATATCCCCTCATTTCGGTCAATTTTCGTAACAGAATGGCATTGCCATTTGTTGAAAACAAATCTTTAAAAGAAAATGATACATTCTTAAATATCGCAGTCAATTATATAGTAGTTGTAAAAATCATTAAACCTTATTAAATATATGATAAATGATATTTACACATCATTATACATCCACCTGGGAATATCAGTACTTATATAGACATATGTGTACATTTAAGTCTTTAATGGTATGGTTTCTTTGTTTATCGCACGAACTTAAACTTATTGCTAGGTGACAGTGTTGGTCATAAAACCATGTTGCCAAGAGTTTCATACAGACATGTTATCGTATAACATGTTTAAAAATCCAATAAATCGACCAGTGACTTTTCCAACAGAGGAGGTCAATAAAGAAGTGTTACATATTTTTCGTTTTTTTTTTACATAAATGAGGCCGATAGTTTTCTCGTTTGAATTGTTTAGAGCCTTATATAGCTGAGTATGCAGTATTGGCTTAGCTCGTTGTTGAAGGTCGTACTGTGACCTAAAGTTGATATTTTCTGTGTCATTTGGTCTCTTGTGGAGAGTTGTCTCATTGGTAATCATAGCACGTCTTCTTTTGTTATATAACAACAATGTTTTTGGCAGGATTGTAATTTGTTTTTACATGAAAGTTTCAAAAAGAAATAAATTGTGAGGGTGTGTGTTTTTGATAGTACAAACAGTATAGTTGAACATGATAAAATATTCACTTGGCTGATTCAGTACAAATTATATAAAAGAAATCAAGGTTATACAAAAACAGTAAAAATAACAAAAATACTGAAGTGTCAATACAGGTTCCCGTTAGCATGTGGCTTCATCAAATGCTCAAACACAGCAAACAATTGGCAATTACCGTCGTAGTCCTGACTTTGTACTGGCTTCTCTATATGCAGAAAAATGTTAATTAAAGGTGCCTTTTCTGTTAGGTAAAGCTGTCATGTGTATGACTTTCGCATATATTTTCATTATATTGACAAAACAAAAAAATTGTAAGGAAAACAAACAGACATAAAAGATACAACAGTCAAAATTTGAAGAGCATCTCTCAATTTTGCTTATAATCGTAATCATAATAAAAACAAACAAACCTGTCAACGAATAATACCAAAATACCATAACAACACTCTCAAGACAAAACCCATGAGCAACAATATAAGATATAATACACTAAAAGGACATTTTATCACATTAAGAACATGAATGCATAAATACCTAACCACAGCAAAATGATATCACTAAAAGATATTACCGAAAATGAACTATCTAGTTTAGATTAAAAAAATCAAAGGCAACACAAAGAACAAACACGTTATTACGAAACTTAACAACATTGGTAACTAGGATCTATTCTTCAAGACATTATGTATTATTCGTGAGTTTTATTCGGAATCTTGATCAAGAAGGTCTTGGAATCTTCCAATGAACCTTTTATTAACATAACCCCAGTTCACCAACTTTCCGGTCAAAAATTAAAACTATACTAAAAAGATTTCATGCGTCTGACACAAGGAACCAACCAAGCATACATTTCCTTTTTAAAAAAAAAATATCTATTTTATTATTATCTTGAAAGACGCACTGCTATTGATTGTTTGCAAACAACTTTATTAGTATGCAGAGATCGTTACCATGACAACTCTAGAGAAGACACACACAGCGTATGTACATTTAAAAGAGAAAAACAAAATAAATAAAGATAAACGGAAGCGATAAACAAATTTCTGAAGGTTCCTTGCAGCCAAAGGATTGCAATGTTAATACCACTATAAAGTCAGCTATATAAAAAATCACGAAATAGCAAATTTAAACAATTGCAACAGAAAAACAAACGGCCAGATTCATGTACAAACTAATGAATGAAAACCAAATTTGATATACAGCAACAAACGACAACCACTGAATTACAGGTTTATGACTTGGGACAGGCACAACTTGTTTGATGTAATCTAACCCTCCTATAACAACATGTACCTTGGAACGTATTTAAAATATGAAGACAATAGGATTCGATTTTCAGGCGATATAATCGCTTTTCTTGATTTATTGTCATCTAGAACGTTCAAAGCCTAATAAACATGATAAACGTAAGACAAAAATGTATAATAGCCTCAACAGTTAAAAAGCTATATGCCCAAAAAAGACATAAAAAAGTCAAATTTATACAAGGTCACCTTTGCCTAAGGGGGGAAAGCATTATTTTCTTATCATATCATAATTTATAACAATTCTAGAAAGGTTTGTTATAAATAACGTCAGTACCAAGTGCTGACTTATCAGCTGATGATATAGGACCAAAAGAGGAAAACAACCCGTCATATATTGCATGCATTCGATGCGTTTTTCTTGATTTACCTACATCAGGAACGCTCAAAGTCGAAAACTGGAAAGAAGAGAATACATTATAACACGTGACAAGCTACATGTATATAACCAAAAAGGACATAAAAAATAGCTTAATTTATCTATGGTCAATTTTGAGTGAGGGAATTTTAATCTAAGTTTCTTATAATTTCTACATTTATATCGGACAATCTTAGGAAGGTTTGTTCTAAATGATGTCAGCAGCGAAGTACACACTTCTTAGCTAATGATACTTACTTAGACTGATAGACTGATAAGATATTGTTTGCTACAATTAATACCATGTCAGAATCATAATTGCAGGTCCTACATGTATATACAGAACTGAAATTATGCCCCTTATTTCGTAAATCAAATAAGCACATTATTTATAATAATTAAACGTCATAAATGTGCTGCAGTAGTCGTAAGTATAATATTGTGCCATCCTTCTTTAAAACAGTGTTAGTACCTTTTTGAAACTCCCATTTTCCATTGTGTAAAGAGATTCCACATTTGTCAACATTTATTTCAATTCCATTTGTGCTCTCCACTTGAGATATGTTTTCTTGTAGAAGTCTTCTGACTAAAGTGGTCTTTCCAACCCCTTCCTGTCCAAGAACGACGACTCGAATGAAATATATCTCCTCTGATGTTGATTCTACCAGTCTTTTATACAGATGTATGCCTTTTCTGCATTCACTAAATAACTTTTGTGGAGGCAGCATATTTACTTCTCTAGCAATAGCTAATGCAAAATAAAATATCAAACAAAACTCAAAGGAATATTACATGCATAAATAGCATAGTATAGTCTACCATTTATTCGGAAATGAACATGATATTTAACAGTCGGATGTGAACATAATAAATGTATTCGAAACATCAACATGATCAATTTACAAACCCAATGGATTTGTTTTTTAATGACCATTTAAAAGTTAAGGGTATTGTAATTTTTCGAATTAACATTATAACTTCTCTTGACAGTTAAAATCACTGACAAAATTCAACAGGTTGTATTTAAATAGGTGTGGATAAGGTGTTCAATAGAATATATAAGCACGATTAAGGAACTATGACGACATGTACCTATTTGTTCATTGAGATTCTTTAATCTACAGTTTTCAACTTCTATGTCCTCTTCAGTCAAATCTGAAAGTAAATGCGCAATGATTGTAGTCCATTTTAGATGATTTTTAAGGCTATGTGTTTCTTCTTCCCTGTGCATACAATGCTGTAGTATTTCTTGTTCATTGATATTTCTTAGGTAATTTGGAGAAATTGATTATACGTATTTATTGAAACAGGCGCTTTGCATAATCAAAGACGTCTAAAAATAAAATAGTTTAAAACTAAAATAAGAACCGAAGTTATAGAATCATATACAATAAGTTCAAACACGTTTGTCAAAAGTTGTCTAAGACCATCTGTTCACGGGGAAAGTGAAACCCATAATAAACATTACGTTTACATAAAATGTGTCATGCTGTTATCTTGTATGCGCGCTTGTTGATTGTTTTTTTAATCATCACCCTGGAATTGTATTTGCTTGTTTGACTGATGCTTATTCGTAGTTTTGAACATGCAATTCAGTACAACACTGTTACTATATGTCTCTTGAAAAAAAGCTACGTTCTGTTCTAGAAATGGTTTTGTTGACTTTTTATTAATAGTTATCAAAGGTACCAGGATTATAATTTAATACGCGAGACGCGCGTTTCGTCTACATAAGACTCATCAGTGACGCTCAGATCAAAAAAGTTATAAAGCCAATCACGTACAAAGTTCAAGAGCATTGAGGACCCAAAATTCCAAAAAAGTGGTCATTTTATGAGTATATGCTTCGTTTATGCCTCAACACCATTAAACTTAAAAAAACAAACGAAAAGAATACGGTTTATACTAAGCCCCATTTCTCGATTGTTCCAGATTTGGTACTGTTCGAAAAATTAATATCAACTGCCAAATATTCAAAATTATCAAAAAAATTCCCTAAAGATATGCTCAGTGTCTTTAAATACCTGTATTAGAAACATTTCTGTCCTTGTTTGCTAAATAACATAATATTTTAGCAAAGCTTTTACAAAAATAAATTCTATCACCAAACATTTCACCTTTCATTGTCAACAAACAATACAGTCATTCATTAGATACATTTCAGAACATAGGGGATGAAACAATCAAATGGTTCCATAAAATGCTATGGACTCGTTCGTAAAATTTTTCAAAGGTACACAAAATATTTATGCAAAATAACGTTACCCCCGGACTGCGTCTAAATATTCGTTTTTAAAAGAAAACCAAGCCCAGTTCCGTGACTATTCTAAAACTTTCTTTGCATATTAATTATATCAAAGTAAAGAATTAATTCTTATATACTCTTTGACTTCCATTGCAAGCGATACAAACACGCATTACCTGGTTCAGCAATAATCTTTAAAATTTGTTGATATGCCCTTTCTTCATAATTGGTCTGTATGGTTATGCGACTGAATAATTCAAAATAGCATAAATGCTTGTTGGGTATGGGCATCAATTCTAAAACAATGAGCTTGAAATTTTGATTCCCATGTTTCATTTGTTTTCCTTCTTCTACTTCAATCTTTGCCGTCCAATTATCGAAGAAGGTATTGTCAAACAATACGATTAATGATCTTGATTTACGCATATTGCTTTCTATAGAATGTGTTAGGTTTTCGCCTATGCATCCATCTCTATCATGGTAGAACGATCTGTACCGGTATTTCTCAAATACCTCTAACAATGTATGTATATATCTATTATTTTCATAATCCGCTATGTAGACATCGTACGTATACATCAATTTGTGTATATAATCTACCGAACGTTCTGAAAAAGTGAAATTTGTCAATACAAACTAAAACTTAGTACATATGGTAATTTTAATGAATTTTATATTTAGGATTAATAACAACGTGTTGTGGTGAAACATATATAATAATATATTTATGATAAATGTTACTACTGAACATTCAACTGTCACTTGTCATAATCCATGAGTTTACAAAAATAAAAGAAGATGTTCTAAATCTGCCAATCAGACAACTATCTACCATAGACCAAAGACATAGAACAATTGTACGTCCACAATAAACAAAAGCCATACTGCATCAGCTATAACCACCTCCCTCCAAAAAAAAAATTACAACAATGTATAAAACAGTAAAAAAAAATGTGTATTTAACAGCCCGACAGATTGACGTTACTTAGTAAAACAAAACAGACATTTCACAAACTCTTTTCCGAGAAAATATATTATTTAATACAGGGAATGTAGATCGCACCTGTCTCGTCAAGATATGTACATTTTTAATGTACTACTATTGGAATAAATTATATCAATATCAAGAAAGTATATAGGCTGTAACTCAAAATCAGAATAAGCGTATGTAAAGCAGATGTATAATACAGTTTGACAGATTCAAATCTAGACATACTAAAAGAGGGACGAAAGATACCAGAGGGACAGTCAAACTCATAGATCGAAAACAAACTGACAACTCCATGGCCAAAAATAAAAAGACAAACAGACAAATAATAGTACAGATGACACAACATAGAAAACTAAAGACTAAGCAACACGAACCCCACCAAAAACTGGGGGTGATCTCAGGTGCTCCGGAAGGGTAAGCAGATCCTGCTCCACATGTGGCACTCGTCGTGTTGCTTATGTTATTACAAATCAGGTAAATAGTCTAATTCGGTAAGTCACATTCGTGAAAAGGGAAGGGTATTGTAGTTACGACATAAGGAACATATCCGATATCATCTGTGAAACCGTTATTCCATAACGGTCAACCAACTCGTGATTGCGTCCGTAAAATTTACGAAGGGATGATTTCAACTTCACCATTTGGAACTAACTTTTGACCTTTTCTAACTTGACCAGATCATTACTTCGGCGAAAAATTCCGACTCCAAATTTTGAATTCATGTATTTTTACCTCCTACACACTAGTATATGCATACAATACAAAGAAATAAAATGTGCCAGGTTATACACTGTCCGTATTAGAGATTATATTTTAAGACAACAAAAAACAAACGATGATAACTATGACACTGGACCTAATACAGAGCAGATACAGAAGGATACGATAGTTCTAAGCATAACAATTAAAGGAGATTGGGATAAAATATAGTAAAAGAAATGGAATATGTAGATAGCCATGTAACAAGCAAAAACATACTGTAAAATATAAGGGAATACACTACAAATTCGGGAAAACATTATACTGCGTCCGTACAATACGAGAGACACACCCTGCAGTAAATATAAAAGAATGTGGTATAATTACCAATCAGAAAATTATAAATATAGATCACAGTCTGGTTTTCAACTATGAGTAAAACCCATACCGCATAGTCAGATATACAATGCCCAGATATGAACACAATAACAAATGCAGTTAAATATTTCTGATAAAATTTAGATTTAGCTTTTGTAACACAAGACAAATACAAAACAGATAGTGTTCCCAGACAAACAGTTATTTCGTAGTGCATTTATTTTAGACAGCTATGTCAATTTCAAAAATTGCACCTGCTGTATCCCCAAAAGATATCTACAATGAAATACACTACTAACTACATTTTATAGACTTATAAAAATATGGGTACAGCTGTCAACATTGTGTTATCATCTTATTTGCTATAAAAAAAGCAAAGTTGTCAACACATAAAACAAAAAAAAAGCATATAGACAAAGCACATTAGCAAAAACGAAAGACAAGAATACACAAATTTACCATAGAACTATAACCAATGACGGGATGTATATGTAATGATATTGCCAAAATGTACTAAACATTAAATATAAAATTTTCAAATACAAATAAAATAATACTATATGAAGAAGATGAACAATGTCAGTATTTATAACCTATACTTCAAGACAATCGTGTATTTTTGATATCACGGATAATATCGGATATGTTTTTTATGTCGTTACTACAATCACGTTCCCTTTGCACGTATTTGACCTACCGAATTAGACTAATTACCGGGTTTGTAATAACATGCGCAACACGACGGGTGCGACATGTGGAGCATATTCTGCTTACCCTTCTGGAGCACCTAAGATCACTTCCAGTTTTTGGTGAAGTTTGTGTTGCTTAGTCGTTATTTTATATGTTGTGTTTTTTTTTACTATTGTTTGTGAGTTTATCTTTTTCTTTTTTAGTCATGGCGTTGTCAGTTTATTTTTGAACCATGAGTTTGAATGTCCCTCTGGTATCGTTCGCCCCTCCTTTGTGAAGTTAATACAGACTTATTTATCAACAAGGTTTGAGTATCTTCAGATGAGCTTTTGTAGAAAAAGTACAAGACGTTCTTTGATATACCCCTGGTACATCCATTTTCAGCGCAGACACTGGTGACGTTTTACAAGGTCCAAGTACGTAGCAAGCTCATAAATACCGAAAAATTTGGGGAAAGTATATTCATATGCAGGTGAAGTTGGTATATTGCTACTGGGGTGGAGGAAGTTGATATTTCGTCTCGTTTGTTTTGATTCTGGTAATGAGATGACCGCTTATACAAAGTTCGAGGTATAAGTCTGAAAATGAGGCAGACTAAAGCGTGTCTGTTGTTTCTAAAATTAATAGTTCTGGAGGAAACATTAATGGAACCCAACAATAAAGTTTGGATTGTTAATGGAAAGAACATAATCAATACATTTGAATGTGAAATTAAATGTTCTTGTTTCTTTT